TTGAACGCATGTGCCCACACATGAAGGTCAGAGGTCAATTTGCAGGAGTCAGTGCTCTCCTTCCACCATGTGTGTCAGTCCCGGGACTAATTGTGGGAACACCAGACCTTGAGCAGAGACCCACTTCCCCTTCTGCCTGGGAGTAGGCAGCTGTAAGACAATGTTTAGTAAAAACATGTTTACTAAAAACGATATAATAAGTTCCTGAAAAAGGCCTTCCCACGGAAACCGCCCTGACCTCGACCTTGTCCAAAGACTAATCGCACCTTAAAAACCCACACACATCCACCTCTGGAGTCAGAGCTGAACCAGCCAGGGGAGAGGAGAGAGCAGAAGCTTCTCTGGTGGGAGCTTTTCTTAGGAGGTTTTCTTGAACCTTTTTGGAGCCTGTTAAAAGTTTTCTTTATATCGTTGGACGAGTCTCTGTGTTGTCAATCCCCGACACCCTCCGCACGTTCTCGGACACAGGCCGAGAAGCAGACTCGACAACTAATCTCAGGGCATCAGGCTTGGCATACAGCATGTCTGTCCAATCGGCCACTCACTGGTCCTAGTATAGCAATTTGTAATAATCTGTCTCTGTAGACAACATCTGTAGATTTCCAAGTGGAAAATTGGATTTCTCTTCAACAGTGACCTATCTATATGATGAATAGCTGTGCCATCAATACCTACAACTGAATTTGAGGTTCCTGGGGACAGTGGGTTTATCCTGAGCAAAGGACTTCTAGGCTAGGACTGTTGCTGGGGGATGGGGTGGGGTGGCGCACACCTTTAATCCCAGCACTTGGGAGGTAGAGACAGGCAGATCTCTGAGTCTGGGCTAACCTGGTCTACAGAGAGAGTTCCAGGACAGCCAGGGCTACACAGAAACCCTGTCTCAAAAACAAATAAATAAATATGTGTCAGGTATTTCTTTGGATAGCCAGCTCCCAAATAATGACCCAGAGACTTTTTATTAATTATGAAAGCTTGGCCTTAGCTTAGGCTTGTTCCCAAATAGCTCTTGAAACTTAAATTAATCCATTTATATTAATCTACATTCTGCCATTCGGCTAGTTACCTCTCCTTGGTATGTCCAACTTCCTGGGAAATTTTTGTCACCTCCTGAGAATTTTTTTCCCCACAACATTGTCCACAATGACTCTCTTGAAGTTCTTGCTTTTTTGTTTGTTTGTTTTGAGATAGTGTTTTACTATGTAGCCCTTGAAAGGGAAAAATGAATAAAAGTCTAAAACTTAGACTCCAAAGCCTATATAGGAAAAAGAAAATTTCCAAGCCTCTCTGAGTTCCCAAAAAGGCAGCCCAACAGATAAGGTTAGACAAACTGGGTACAGAGGCCTGGGAACAGATAACATTTCTCTGTCCCAAAGAAGATCAGATAGTTATAAAAAGTCCCTGCCTAGGAGATAATTAACAAACTTATTTCCTCTACAGCTTCCTGCTTAATTGCACCCTGCCTAAACATACAGTTATTGTTTTATGCTATGTAACTATAAAAACTTGGTAATCTCGAGACACCCAGTCTTTTGAACTTTCCCCTTTAAAAACCCCCTTAGCCAAAAAGTGGGACTCTGCTCGTTCCAGAACGGCAGGGTCTGAGTTGCAACTCGTAATAAAGAAACCTTTGCTTTTGCATTCGGTGAGTCGCCTCCTTGTGGATTTTCCAGGTTCTGCCATCTGGGCTTAGCAGCCCTGACTCACTCGTAGACCAAATTGGCCTCAAACTCACTGAGATCCCTCTGCCTCTGCATCCCAAGTACTGGAATTAAAGGCATGTGCCACCACAGCCTGGCTCTTGAGGTTAAGTGTCCTTAATTAAGAATTGACTCAAAGTCAGGCAGTGGTGGTGCACACCTTTAATCCTAACACTCTGGAGGCATAGGCAGTCAGATTTCTGAGTTTGAGGCCAGCCTGGTCTACAGAATGAGTTCCAGGACAAGCAGGGATACACAGAGAAACCCTGTCTAGAAAAAAAAACAACAACAATAAAAATAATAATGGACTCAAACAGAAGTTTAAGGACAATTTTATTAGCATTTAAAAGAAAAACCCCAGGAAAGGCAAAATGTAACCCTCTGCAGCTTCCTGCAGTAGGAGAATGGAGGTAAGGAGAAAAGCCACGCCATTTGAGATGAACAAGCAGTCAGTCGTGTGGGTGAGAGGGAGGATTGAGAGAGACAGAGAGAGAGAGAAAGAGAGAGAGAGAGAGAGACAGACAGACAGACAGACAGACAGACAGACAGAGAGAGACAGGGAGGGAGAGGGACAAGGACAGAGGGAGGGAGAAAAGAAGCCCATTGTAATATAGAAAGTATACTTAAATTTTGACCAGTATCTGAAAGAGACAGAAAATATAAAAAGTACCTTTCAGATCCAACAAATATACTGACTGCTTGACTTGTAGGGACTGAGTGGGGGCCAAAAATGGGGAAGGAAAAAGTATCTCAAGGAGAAAATTGTTCTACCTATCTCCTTAGCCTGACTTAAGGTGAGCCCAAATTTCCTAGGAGTGGTCCCTTGGCCAGGTTATTGAACTAGCCCAAAAGGAATGTGAGGTTTCCCCCCAGGGCAGAGATTCTGCCCTCTTGAGCGGAAGGAGCTTTTCCTCATGGGGCCTTTATTGTTGGTGTAACCGTACCATTACCTTCTGGATTCCACCTTTGCTCTCAGGAGGACAATCTTAAGTTTGGCTCCCTTTGGTAACATACTTTCTCTCTGGCTATTTTAAGACCTTTTCTTCTGTCACTGACATTTCCCAGTAAGCATCACAGTGTTGTCTTCCTGCGGCCCACATCTTGGGCATCGGGAAGTGCTGGCCATTTCTACTAATTGCTTCCCACACCAAATTACTGATGCTAAGTGGCCACCTTCGAGGTGAGCAACACCCCAGCGTGCCAGGGACTCGGGATTTCCTCAATCCAGGACGCAGGATAAAGATAAAGCTGAGACAGTACTGAGCTAGCAAGGGCAGTCTCCTTCCTCCCGTCACACTAGACTTCCCCTCCTGCGGCACACACACTAATCGGGGGAGGCTGGGCAACTAGCAAGCCAGGCACCTGGAACTCCTGCCCCCTCTAGGCTGGAGACCCTGACACTCGGGCTGGCTTACTTGGTCATTGTTTCTTTCTCTGGGCAACACTGTCTCTGAAACTTTGTCTCTATGCACACTAATATCTCCAAGAAGCTCAACTTGTCTTCTTTGAGTCTCCATTACAGAATACAATAAATAAATAAATAAATAAATAAATAAATAAATAAAATCCTTTACCACAGGGCCTCTGGCCTCCATCTACATCATAGATGTGGCTAGTTCCTACTCCATAGTCCTGAAACCACCGCATTAAAAAAAAATTACTTCATAGGCTGGGCATGATGGTGCACGTCTTTAATCCCAGCACTCTGGAGGCAGAGTCGGATGGTTCTTTGTGAGTTCGAGGCCAGCCGGGTCTATATAGTGAGTACCAGAGCAGCCAACACCAACACTGACCTCTAGAGGGCAGTGCTACCCGATTTCACAAGCCACTGTCTAGCTAGCATTTCTTGGAACCTGTGTGTGTGTGTGTGTGTGTGTGTGTGTGTGTGTGTGTGTGTGTGTGCGCGCGCGCGCGTGCGCACGCGCGAGAAAAGAGAGGTTCCCACAGGCACACATTTTCTTTCTCTTCTCCATGTAAATCTGTAGCGCAACCAAACAGTCCTCCAGAAAGTACATTTATACGTTATCTTATTTTGGTTGTGTTTGCCAACTTGTTCGGTTGTCGTGAGGTTTCACTCCAGAGCCCATGCTGGCTTCCTACTTGTTAGAAGCATACGGCCTATGTATCCTGTAAAACATTGGTTTAACTGAAAAAAATTTTTTCTTACTAAGTTGCCCTGCCCTTTCAATGCTAACGTTTTCAAAAGCAAATGCTGTTCTCATAGGACCCTCATTAACTGGGCGAATAAAGAAATGGCAGACGTCTGGGTTCCACGAAGACTCAGTTGCAACACATTGGAAACACGAGATAACAACTCTCTGAGCGAGAACATCTACGGGAGAATTAGCAGGGGTTCTGGTGCTGGCTGGGCGCGGTTACTTACTGTAAACCTTGTCAGGCTGCTTAGTTTATAAACGGTGGCCACAGCTTCTTTCCCCAAAACCTGAGGCTCCGCTTCAGCGACCAGCCTACGTTCCCGTCTACTCCACCTTACTGGTGCTCTTGGATCCAGTCTCATCTGTGATAGGCAGAACTGGAAAAATGGCAGGACGCTTGTGGAACTATGGAGTCAGATGAGCTCCAGCTTTTCCCACTCACTAGCTGGGCGTGCTTCCTTGGTCTGACTTAAGAATTCAAGAAATGCCTGTTGTTCTATTTCCAGCACTGCAGAGTGGGAGTGGATGAGGAACCTAGCCATATGCATGCTCAGAAAATATTTACTGCTTGCCTCTAGTTTCGGTATTTGTGCAGATCGTGGATTCCCGCCTAACAGCGCCAGATCCCCTTGGATTACTAGAATACAAACGGAGAGCTACACGTTACTTTTAGGTTCATTCTTCTGAGTGTTTCGTCAGCGCCCTGGGAGGTGGGAGGAGTGTCGGATACCCTGGAATTGCAGTTGTGGGCGGTTATCAGGATCCTCTGTAAGAGCAACAAGTGCTCTTAACCGAGAAGCAACGTCTCCAGCCCCCCGAGAACTACAAATTTTAACATGCTTTGGGCAGAGAAGCTGCAGGCTCCTTCCCGGCCACCACGAGTCCCCTCGGCGCGAATCCACCTTAGTTAGCCCACCCCAGAGACGCTCTCGCTGACCCAGACTGACTTCCGCGGAAACCCGCCCCTCCGCCGCGCACGCGCCACCCAATAGGCCAGTGCCTTACGGCTAGCCACGCCCCGACTCAGGCCTGGCTCTGGGGACGAGGAGGCCTCCCCGGTAAACGCATGCGCACTCCTTCCTCTTCGTCTCCCTTCAGTCACACCTTCGCGTTTTGACTGCGAGCCCTTTTTGTCCCCTACTGCGTACGGTGTCAGCGTCCCCGCGGAAGTGCCGGCTGCAAGGGAGGAAGATGGCAGCCACTGCGGCGCTACCTGGGGCTGCGGCCGGCCGAACGAACAAGCGCGGCGGCGGCCCGGGCGGCGGAGGAACCCAAGGTGCGGGGGAGGAGCCGCCGCCGCCTCTCCAGGCCGTTCTGGTGGCGGATAGCTTCAATCGCCGCTTCTTCCCCATCTCCAAGGACCAGCCTCGGGTGAGCGCCCGACACGCGAGCAGCCGGAGGGCCTGGAGGGTGGCGGGGCTGCAGGAGGTTGCCACTGTGGCTGGTTGGTGAAGCGTGCTCTGGAAGTTACCCTAAATGTTTATCTGGTTGGGGGAAGGTGGAGGGATTGACTGAAACCCCGATGCCAGTCCGAGCAGGTGAGTGGCTTGGAAACATGCGTTCTCGCAGGGCTGTCCACCCAGCCTTGAGAGAAACGGAGAAGGCGGCGTGTAGAAGCAGTGCTTGACAGAGCCTTCCCAAGGGGATTTGGTAGCGCAAGAGGGCCCTTCGTTGTCTTTAACCTTGCGAGAGAGAAATGGGCAGTTAAAGAAATAGCTTCGGAAAAGGAGATGGAAATGTACCTAAAAGAGAAAAGACTGGATCTCGGGCTGGTGCGGGCTTTTGCCGTCCAGCAAATGGGTTGCCGTCACTCTCAGAATTAACAAGACCTAGGAAATTGGTCTTGGGCTTGCAGACTGCTGGGTCACTCAGCAACCCATAGTTCACTCAAACAGAGATTTGCCTTTGACTTAAGAAAAATTCCTGAAGCCTAATGGCTGTTCATTTTTATAAGTGTTTGATTGATTGCCAATGACTCTTAGTGGTTAAGAGAAGGAAATTTTATAGAGAGAAGGCCTAGAGTTCTGGAGCGATGATTTTGGGCCAACATTTATCCTTTGCCAGCACTGGTTTAGTATAGCATGTCTGTGTCTTGATAACTATGCCTACTAAGCCGGAATCCCTGTACCTTAGACTGAACCTTATCGCATTTCATGAACAGCCCAAGCGGCAACCTATTTTCTTTAGAATTAAAAGATAAAGTGGTCTGGCAGTGGTGGCTCACGACTTTAATCCCAGCACTCAGGAGGCATAAGCAGGTGGATCTCTGTGAATTCGAGGCCAACCTAGTCTACAGAGCAACCTAGTCTCCAGGGCAAGCTCCAAAGCTACACAGCTAGAAAAACAAAACAAAAGATAAACTGTGGCACCTGGAAACTGATAGAAGGAGCATTGTTGCAGTGGGGATACCCAAAGCATAATCATGGATTGAAGACCTCAGACTTTCATATCCTGCCCCGTAGGCCCTCCTGCCCCTGGCCAATGTGGCGCTAATTGACTACACTCTGGAATTCCTGACGGCCTCGGGTGTGCAAGAAACATTCGTCTTTTGCTGCTGGAAGGCTGCTCAGATCAAGGAACATTTGCTGTAAGGTCCCATGTTTCACCATCTTTTCCCAGTTTTGTTTGTTTGTTTGTTTGTTTTCAGGGTGGTTATGAGACAGTTAAGATGTGCAAGGAGATTTAAAAAAAAAATACATCTATTCAGATCTCATGTTAGGTTTAGTGTTTCCCTCAGGCTGCCAGAACGCCCTCTACCTCGAGGTCCTGGTGATGGAAAGTAAAGGCTGGTGTGGTTTTCTGAGTCTTAGTTTGGTCCCATGAGTGTTGCTTTTTATTTGATGACTCTAGTGTGTGAGTTACTAGAAGAGTGTCTTTATTTTTCACTGAGTTTCCAAATATTGCCTGTTGTGACCCCAAGGATAAGAACAAGCTCTTCACCCTTGTTTCCACACTGCCCACCTTAGTTTCAAGCCAGCAGAAAGTTCTTAACATGTGCATGTTAAGATCCCAGGAGAGTGAGCCATGGAATTTATGAGTTTGGGAAATAAAGCTATTCCATGATAGAAGAAAGACAACGTGAAAAAATGTATTCCCAGGATACTCTCATACCTTAGATTTCAGCAAGATTTTGAATTCAAACTAACATTTGAAGACAGGAGTTGAGGTGTAGAAAGGAAATAGCCATATTTCTCTAACACATAAAACTAATGACACTGGTGCTGAAACCATTCATTATAGTTCATAAGTCTCTTTGAAGCCAAGGACGCTGGCAGGGACCCAGAAAGGCCATAGAGAAGGTTGAATGCCAAAGGGAGGTTGAAAGTCAGGTCTGTGATCATTTGCTTAATTTACCATTCCTCTCAACACCTTTCCTATAGGAAATCCAAGTGGTGCCGTCCTACATCCCTCAACGTTGTTCGAATAATTACCTCAGAGCTATACCGATCTCTAGGAGATGTCCTCCGTGACGTTGATGCCAAGGCCTTGGTGCGCTCTGACTTTCTGCTGATATATGGAGATGTCATCTCAAATATCAATATTACCAGAGCCCTAGAGGAACACAGGTCAGGGTGGGGAACATGGCAGGGACAAGACTTAGGGACCAGCAGAGCACAAAGACTACTTACTCTGCCTCATGTTCTTTATAGGTTAAGACGGAAACTAGAAAAAAATGTGTCTGTGATGACAATGATCTTCAAAGAGTCATCCCCCAGCCACCCTACACGCTGCCATGAGGACAACGTGGTGGTAGCTGTGGATAGTACCACAAACCGCATTCTGCATTTCCAGAAGACCCAAGGCCTCCGGCGGTTTTCCTTTCCTTTGGTGAGTGGGTATCTGTGGAACCCCAGGTAGGAGGGGGCTGGGCTTCTAGAAGAGGTAAGTTAGAGCCTGTGACCTCTTCCACAGAACCTGTTCCAGGGCAGTAGAGATGGAGTGGAGATTCGATATGACTTACTGGATTGCCACATCAGCATCTGCTCTCCTCAGGTGAACTCTCCAGAAGAGGGATGCACATCCAAAGACTAGAGCTCTTATGGGGGCAGGGCTGTGTGTCCGTTATCACCCCCTTTCAAGGCCAGCGAGTATGTCTTCTCCTTCACTCTCTTATCTATTGTATAGTAAAGAGGCACTGTTACATCATTCCCAGCCTAGGGTTTTGTTCCATAGCCAGTTATGGGTATGGTGCTCTGGGACTCAGTCTTTGTTTCCTGGCTAAGTACTTAACCTTAGCACACCCTGTCTCCCCCCACAGGTAGCTCAACTCTTCACAGACAATTTTGACTACCAAACTCGAGATGATTTCGTGCGAGGCCTGTTAGTGAATGAGGAGGTGAGAAGAAGCCCCTAAACCTCTAGAGGAAATGGTCTATCTTACTCTGAACCTTTGATTCCCTTTTATGTTTCATTAAGCCTTCGGAGGGAGAAAGATAACTAGAAAACTGGGAGAAACAGTCCCTAAGGAAAACTCAGGCCATCACTGCGTGTCAAAGAGGCACTGAAAGGGCTTAGGAGATGTTCTACTTTAAGACTACATGATCTCCCTTTCTCTTCCTTTAGATCCTAGGAAACCAAATCCACTTGCATGTAACAAGTAAGGAATATGGTGCCCGGGTCTCCAACCTACACATGTACTCAGCTGTCTGTGCCGACATCATCCGTCGATGGGTCTACCCTCTCACTCCAGAAGTAAACTTCACTGACAGCACCACACAGAGCTACACTCATTCCCGACACAACATCTACCGTGGGCCCCAAGTCAGCCTGGGCCATGGCAGTGTCCTGGAGGAGAATGTGCTTCTGGGAGCCGGCACTGTCATTGGTAGCAATTGCTCCATTACCAACAGTGTCATTGGCCCTGACTGCCACATTGGTGAGCACAGGTGGGGAATCCAGCAGCAGGCCCACAGATGTGGGGCTGGAGTATGTCTCCAGAAGCTAGCAAGGGTACCAAGGGATGGTCCTTATGAATTAGGAACTAGAATCTTGAGAAAGGAGGAGAGAGTCTGGAGAGATGGCTCTGTGGTTAGGAGCACTTGTTGCTCCTGCAGAGGACCCAGGTTTGGTTTCCAGGATTCATGGTAGTTCACAACCATCCTTAACTGCAGGTCAGGGGAATCCAATGACCTCTTCTGACGCACACATGATACACATACATACATGCCGGCAAAACACTCTAAATTAGTAGATCTTCGAGGTGGAGGTGGGGGGAGAAAGAGAAGAGTCCCTCTGCTTGTTGGCACACATTTTTTTGTTGTTGTTGTTTTTGTTTTTCAAGCCTCAAGTTTACAGAGACCCACCTGCTTCCACCGCCCAAATGTGGGGATTAAAGTCATGAGCCACCACACACAAAGTGTTGGCCCACACTTATAATCCCAACACCTGGAAGATGGAGGCAGGAGGATTACAAGTTTGAGGCCACCCTGGAACTATATATTGAAACTTGTGTTAAAAAAAGGCAGGAAGAAGGAAGTTAGTTGGCTACAGTTGTATATGATCCCATCTGCTCTGGAGGATAATATAGTCAGGCTTTGAGGCCAACCTGGGCAACAACGTGACCCATTCTTAAAAAACAGAGAAGGACACACAGGAAAGAATAAGAATTTGACAGCCAATATGTGGTCTATGACTCTTTTTGTGGGGTGGGGTCATTGAGACAGGATTTCTCTATGAAGCCCTGGCTGTCCTGGAACTCTGTAAACCAGACCTGCCTCTGCCTCCTGAGTGCTGGAATTAAAGGCGTGCACCACCACCACCTAGCCTAGTAAGACTCTTAAGATGATTCTTCATACTCTGGAATATCCTCTACTATGTTCACATTTGGAACCAAGTAGAGAGTGAGCATGTGCTACTAACCTCTGTTTAACTATTACAGTTTCCAAAGGGCTTTTGCATGTGTTCGTTCATTTAACCCTCAGAGAGGTGGTCTTGCCTACGTAGCATCTAATGTGAGGCGATGCTAGCTATTCTGGTTGTGGGCTCCAGGTGTTTTTTGTTTTGTTTTGTTTTGTTTTTTCTTTTTTTGGTTTTTTGAGACAGGGTTTCTCTGTAGCTTAGGAGTCTGTCCTGGAACTCACTCTGTAGACCAGGCTGGCCTCAAATTCACAGAGCTCCGCCTGCCTCTGCCTCCCCGGTGCTGGGACTAAAGGCGTGGCCACCACATGCTCATCGGCGTTCTTTTTGCTCTCTGTAGTGGTGGCTTTCCTCTTGCCAACTCACTTTGGTTGAAGAATGTGAGACTGGTAATAGTGCCAACCCCTTGAATCTAATAGTAGGATTCAAGATCTGTGATGCACAGAGAGATGGAGTCATTTTGTTGTCCTTGCAAGTGAGACATGACTGTGATAAGGTTATAATTCATTCTGGGAAATCTTGAAGACTCCGGTTAAGCCATGTGTATAGTGTAAAATTATTGTGAACTTAGAGAACAGTCAGTTTGCTCTGAGGGCTGACCTGGGAAGGGACTGGATGGTTTTAGTGTTGGCAGGTGAATATCAGAACTAGGTGGGAGCTGGGGCTGCTGTCAACCAGCCTTGGCCTCCATGAAGGAACCCGGAGTAACAGAAGTCCCCCTCATTCTGAACCAGGTGACAATGTGATACTGGACCGGGCCTACCTGTGGCAGGGAGTTCGAGTGGCTTCTGGATCACAAATACACCAGTCTCTGCTCTGTGACAAAGCTGAGGTCAAGGAACGAGTTACCCTGAAGCCACATTGTGTCCTCACTTCCCAGGTGAGGCCTATTCCAGACTACGCATGATCCCTGAATTGAATAGTGATTATGCCAAGTCAAAGGGGACCACATTTTCCTATAATTAAGACTGCAATGAGGATCCAAGTTCCTTTGGCCTTCTATTTAGCTTGCTATAAAACCAGAACAAAACAAAGTATTGTTCCGATTGTCAAGAGATAGTTCTCCCCAGTGCATTAATCAGTCTGGGCCATTGGTCCTTTTTCTCTCATAGGTGGTAGTGGGCCCAGATATCACGCTGCCTGAGGGTTCGGTGATCTCTTTGCACCCTCCTGATGCAGAGGAAGATGAAGATGACGGCCAGTTTAGTGATGATTCTGGAGCTGACCAAGAAAAGGAGAAAGTGAAGCTGAAAGGTGTGAGGCTCAACAGGTGTGGGGCGTCTGTGTGCTTCTCTGCCCCATAGAAAAGCCTGTTCTTTCCAGAGAAATCAGTGCTGCTGCTGGGCCTTCTCAAAAGATCAATGCCTCTTCCAGGTTACAATCCAGCAGAAGTAGGCTTTGAAGGCCAGGGATACCTCTGGAAAGCTGCAGATGTGAACATGGAGGAAGAGGAGGAGCTACGGCAGAGTCTGTGGGGTGAGCTGGCCTTTAACCTGCCTGCTTCTGCTTAATAGGAAGTTCACACTGACAGGACACATACTGCTATCTATCAGTGCCTGCATCTGCTTGGCTGGGTTTTTTTTTTGTTTTGTTTTGTTTTGTTTGTTTTGTTTTGTTTTTTTTTTTTTTTGACTTTGTGTGCATGTGCCATGTCAGGAGAATAGAGGTCAGGACCCACATGGTTTGAGGGTTGACTGTGTGTCTTTACGTGCTGAGCTATCTCATTACTCCCCTCCTGCGTGTCCCCTTTTTGAAAGATAGGCTCTCTGTAACCCAGCTAGCCCTGCGCTTGCTGTGTAGCTGAGAATGGCCTCGAGCTTCCTTACATCGTGCACAGCACACCTGGCTCTGTGTGGTGCCAGCCTCTTACATGGGAGCCAAGCGCTCCACCACCTGAGCTGCGGCGCTGACTCCTGTCTTGGTTCTCAGGACTCACGATTGATGTGGGAGACGAGAGCGAGACTGACAGTGAGCGGAGTGTGGATTCTGAGCAGCTGGACAGCCGCGCAGGCTCCCCTCAACTGGATGACATCAAAGGTGTGAACACAGTGGGAAATCTTACTCTTTGCTTCATCTGCTAGCCAAAGGCTCGAGTTCCTCCGGTCAAGGCTTTGCTATAAAGTCAGAACTAGATGACAAAGTATTCTGGAAAGGTGAATTTCTTTCCTTTCAGTATTCCAGAATGAAGTCCTGGGAACACTGCAACGAGGCAAAGAGGAGAATATTTCTTGTGACAATCTAGTCCTGGAGATCAACTCTCTCAAGTAAGAGTAACCCCTTCCTGTTTTCTCTGGGCTGTTCTCTCAAAGTGTTTCTTCCCGGAGGAGACTGGATAGGAGAAGGCCAGGAGTGTTTGGAGCAAGGAGCACATTAGCGTTTAGTCTTGAGTAGATTTCCTTTCCTCAGTGTGCTGTCACAGCCATCCTGCTCTTAGAGTGGGAAGACAGAGAACCCTGCAGTCATGCTGTGTTAGTTACTTCTGCTGCCACAAACTACCCAGAGAAAGCAGCTTAGGGAAGGGGTGGCTTGTTTTGGCTCACAGTTCATGGTAGCAGAGCTGGGAACCACTGGTCACGTGGCGTCTGCAGTGACGCAGTGGAAGTGAATGCTGGTCTCAGCCCAGAGTCTGCCCACGTGTCCAGAGATTTGTCTGCTAGGATGACTCCATCACTGCTAACCATAACGCATGCCAATCTCCCCACAGGTATGCCTACAACATTAGCCTAAAGGAAGTGATGCAGGTCCTGAGCCATGTGGTCCTGGAGTTCCCCCTGCAGCAAATGGATTCCCTGCTTGACCCAAACCGCTACTGTGCCATGCTGCTTCCTGTAAGCAAAGACTGAAGCCAGGTGCAAGGGATTGAGTGTTGGCAGCTAAACATCTTTGCAGTGCTTGTCTTAAAAGGAACTAGGAGTTGGTGGGCTTGCTATGGGCTATAAGTTGCTTCCGGGTCCATTGGTCTTGCCTTTGGGAGGTGGTTTGTTTCTAGAGTGGCAGTAGCAGTCCAGGGCCTGGTAATATTAATGCTGAATGGTCTTTGAGACTCCAGGATTGACACCATTCCAAGCCCCTAAAAGGACATTCAAAAATAGTTCTGGAAATCAGGTATTATGAGACATATCTGTACTTTAACACTTCCAGGAAGTTAAGGCCAAAGGATCACCGGAGTCCAGCTAGGATAACAGCAAAATTCCATCTCAAAGACCAAACAGTCTAAAACAACATGAAGAATAGACTCTGTCTTACAGAGCCCACAGTGATTTGACCCAGAACAAGATTAATCCCTGGCTAGGGATAGGATTTTGAGACAGTAAACAGCATCTGTCTGACCCACTTTTCCCTTCCCTGGGAGATCTCATTCTTTCCCCCAGCCTCTTGTTGGAGCAGTTCCTAAATACCTCATACATGACTCCATGCTGCCTATGCCATCTCCTCTTGTCCTTCCATGTCATCAGTATCCATTGTCTTTGCTGTTCAGCTTCAGGAGCATGCTAAGGAATAATCAGAGTTCCATTTCCCCCTTCCCCTCCTTCTCCCATAGCTGCTCAAAGCCTGGAGCCCTGTTTTTAGGAACTACATAAAGCGTGCAGCTGACCATTTGGAAGCATTGGCAGCCATTGAGGACTTCTTCTTGGATCATGAAACTCTTGTTACTTCCATGGCCAAGGTGAACACCATCTCACATTTCGTGTCCTACATGTGCGTTGATACAGGCCTTTGTGACCCCACAGAAACACGAAACTGAGGCTAAATTTGGCCCAGCCTGAAGTTTGTTCACCACATCATCTGTCCCTGGGGTCATGTTTAATGCTAGAATAAAGCAATGTAGGGCCAGGCTGGTGCTGGTGAGGCAGTCATTGAGGGCTGGCCTGAGCTAACCAGGCCATTCAGCAGGAGGTCCACGGGTCATACCTATCAGCACCAAAAGATCAGTTCATGCTGTCTTTCTTTTGGGTGGGTGGTGGTGATGATGATTTGACTTGGTGTGTGTTTGTTTTCCTCACACTGGCCTTAAACTTGTGATACAGGTGAGTTTGGATTCCTGATCCTCCTGCCTCCACCCCCAAGTGTTGACATTACAGGCACAGACCACTCTGCCCTCTGTCTTGTCTGTTTTGAAGAGGCTGCTTGGTGCGTGGGAGGAAGCTGAGAGCCTGGAGGTGCTAAGGTCTCCTCTGAGTGTTAGCCATTATTGCTGTTATATCCCTGCTAGATCCTGCTTCCCCTTTGCTGACTTTCTGTAGGTTCTGATGGCCTTTTACCAACTGGAGATCTTGGCTGAGGAAACAATCTTGAGCTGGTTCAGTCAAAGAGACATAACTGACAAAGGCCAGCAGTTGCGCAAGAATGGACAGGTATGGTAGGCTGCCCTCTGCTCCCCAGGTGCCCTAGTCCACCTCAACTCCAGGCTTTGTGGTCAGAGCCATTTATCCAGTAACAAGAACAGGGAATGCATGCTTCTCTTTACAGCTGCAGAGGTTCATCCAGTGGCTAAAAGAGGCAGAAGAGGAGTCATCTGAAGATGACTGACGGCAACTGCTGCCTCCCGTCGTGTGTTGTTGGTTGCCCACCCAGCGGATTGGGAGGGACAAGAAAGCTGGCTGCAGAAGCACGAGTGGCCACTACAGACTGAGACTTAACGGAACACAAGTGCAGCTTCAGTATTCTTCCTACTGCTGGCAACCGTGTGCGTCTTTCTCATCCTGACTGAAGTTGGGGTGTGGGAGTTAGACTGAAACAAGTCTAGGGAATCTAGACAGACCCTGCAGTTGGAGGTAGGCCAGAGGACGTGCTCTGTGCTCCATCTTTCCCTCAGGGGACAGTAAAGAGCAGCTGGCCCTCTCTGTTGTTTGTATCTGTTAATTTTAAAAAGAGGGGTGTATTGGGCTTCTTGCCAACTCTGCCTCATCAGCCAGGAGAGAAAGTAAGTATAGGAACTGACTTAGCTGCTTTTAGCCAACGCCTGGAGGGAAGGGAAAGGGGTTGCAGTGGCCTCAAGGGGGTGCTATGCTACCTGATTAATTCCATTGCCCTGCTACATGTCAAGTGAATGGTTGAGCTGCCTTCCCATGCCCCATAGACCAGTCTGTTGGGGGGGGGGGTGCCAGAGCCTATTTCCATAGGCTTTCCTGGTCTGAACACCCTCTCCCCGAGGGTGATGGTGACAGGCATCTGCCACTCTAACCTTTTCCAGTTGACCCAGTACTGGTTCTGTCAGAGATACTGGGCCACATCCTTCTTAAAAAATAAGGAAATCCACATGCCTTTAATCCCAGAACCCTGGAGGCAGAGGCATGGAAGATCTCTGTGAGTTCAAGGCCAGCTTGGTCTACAGGGTGAGTTTAGGACAGCAAGAGCTGTTATATACTGGGGACAGTGGAAGAGTAAGGAAACCCACCTAACATATAAGAATCTTACAGGGCATAACTAAATACTTTAACCTTATAATCCCGAACTCTGCTTCAGTGAACTGGAAACTGTCCCAGAAGCAAAGCCAGGAATGGACATATTAAGAACATAGAAATTCCTGTGAAGCATGCTTTCACTTATTCTGAGAGTTTAACGTGTGGCAGAAATTCGCTAAGCATCCATGTGTTCTTTCATTTGACCTATGCCATCAACCCTGTGACGTGTTCTTGTCATTTTCTAACGAGATGTCTGCAGCTCAGAGAGGCCATGTAACTAGTCACTCATAGAAGCCAAGTTTGCCACTGACCCTAGAACTGGAGTTTATCACTGTGCTATGCAGCTCCTGTAACCTCAACACTCCTTTTGTGAGGTCTTCCTCGCCTTCATACAGAGTGAATCAGTAAGTTTCTCTTTTGATGCTCGCCTGTAATAAATCTCACACCACACACACTTGGCATCATAGACAAAATAGGTGCCTTTGTTTCAGCTGAGTGGAAAGGAATAAGCTAAAAAAGGGGCCACTGAACTCTACTGGAGGGTGCAAAGGCATTTTTGAAAAGGAAAAAAATCTTGGCACAGTAGCAACATTTGTCAGCACTTGGAAAGTCAAGCGTTCCAGGCTAGCCTGGGCTAATGGAGACCCTGGCCAGGTCCAGAGTCTAATACCTGGAGAACCTACAGAGACGATGGCCTGTACCTATGGGACATCTTGATCAGTTCCAGATATGGACGCAGATTAGAAGTGATAAAACTTTAAGAAATGACCCTTCTAGTTAGGGTGGTAGAGAAAGAAGGCTTCACCAACTGTGACGCAAAGTTGACTTCGGAAGGAAGGAAAGTTAAAGCATATCCAAAGCAGAGATCTCCAACGTTGTATGGAAATGTGCCTGTGAAGGAGTCATAGGAAGGCGTGTGACTCCATAAGGAGAACAGGAGATGGCAGTGAATTAGATGTGGCCACATTGCCAGAAGTTGAAAATGGAATGGTAAGGGCTGGAGAGATGGCTCAGCAGTTAAGAGCACTTGTTCTTACAAAGGATCCAAGTTCAGTTCCCATCACCCACTGGGCATAACTCCAGCTCCAGGATGCATATGATACACAGACATACATGTGAGCAAAACACTCATGTGAAATAAATTGGAAAACATTTTAACAAAATAGTAAAAGGTGACAGAATAGATGATTCTTCCTGCTGGTGTAGAGTGCTATTAACAAGCCAGTGTAAGGTCTAGCACAGCAGTTCCTATGGCGCAACCTTTTAATACAGTTGCTCATGTGGTAACCCCCAGCCACAAAATTATGTTCATTTCTACTTCATGGCTATAATTTTGCTACAGTTACAAACTATAGATAATCTGGTTTTCTGATGATCTTAGGCAAACCGTGTGAAAGGGTTGTTTGATTCTCCCCAAAACTGGTCTCAACCCATAGGTTGAGAACCACTGGTTTAGAGCCTTAGCGGAAGGTAAAGGATTGGAGACGAAAGAGCTCACACAGAGATGCACTTATAAAGAAGCCCTGCACATGCACCATTCTCACTTTCAGATCTAGCCAGGTGACAAGCCTCCCCTCTGCAAGAAAAGGACAGTTAAGTCTGTGAGCTGTGATAGGGAGGAAATCACCAAAGAAAAATGTTTAAGAAAAGTCATGAGAAACCAGCATGGAGCATGACTGTAATCTGTGTATACGGGTCACTACTAAGTTTCACTGTAGTAATAGAGCACTTGGGAGGTCGTGGTCATCCTCAGGCATACAGAGGTCAGTCCAGGCTATGGGACACTTTGTCTCAGAAAAAGTCAGGTTTCCAGACTTAACAGGGCCTGTGGTTTTCCAGCATGATGAAAGTCCTGTGGAATTGAAGATGACAGAGACATTTTTCCTTTCCTTGACCCTCCCAAAGAAACACTCCCCACTTTACCCCCCTACAGTGAAACTTATTTATTAGTAACCCTTTACCTAGCTAGAGTTTCCCATGTGCATTTTAGTGCCCTTACATACAGTGAAAGCCAAGGCACAAACATTTAAGAGTCCTCCAACATCAGACGCAGAACAAAACACATAAAGGGAAACCGGAAACTCTGGTAAAGTAGAATACTCTGAAAGTCTAAGCAGAAAGCTACAGTTAGGAGTATGAAAACTCAAAAGAAAATACTGTGTCCATAAAGATGTCACAAAGGGGGAGAATTGGAGAAAAAAAGAGTTCTTAGACCTCAGACTGGTAAAGTGACTGAGCTTGCCACGAAAGCCTGCTAACCGAGTTCAAGGGGAAAGTGCAGTCCCCAGAACCCATAATGAACAGTGAGAACTGACTGCTGAAAGTTGTCTGGCCTCTGCGTACTTGTGCGACTGCAGTGATAATAGTAACGGCATTAAGCGACTGTAAGAGCTGGAGGATTGGATAGGGTGGGAATGTTTCATTGCATTCTCAGCCTTATATATGCCTGGCTTTTAATCAGGAGAGCTCAGTTTGACTTCATTTTTCCCAGGTCTTGGTACACTTGGTTTTTACCTCTGGACATACATGAATACCAATATATTGGATAAATAAGTGGCTAGAAAGGTTCAAATCAAGCTGGGCGTTGGTGCATGCCTTTAACCTCAGCACTTGGGAGGCAGAGGCAAGCAAATCTCTGTGAGTTTGAGGCCAGCCTGAGCTACCTCAAACCAACTCCAGGATAGGCTACAAAACCACAGAGACCCTACCTCAAAAAAAAAAAAAAAAAAAAGCTTCAAATCAGAAAATCTTTTTGGGGGGTGGTTCAAGACAGGGTTTCTCTGTAACAGCTCTGGCTGTCCTAGAAATAGCTCTGTAGACCAGGCTGGTCTCAAACTCAGAGCTGCCTGCCTTTGTCTCCCAAATGCTGGGATTAAAGACATGAGAAAATCTTATAATATGAAATTGTCAAAAGTAATAATAGAGAAGAAAGGATGTGAAGAGTAAATCCAGAAGGTTTGCTATCTAATTAGGTTGGCAAAGAGCAAGAAGGAAGGTTAGGACAGTGTCCATTCAAGATGTTGTTGCATTTCTAGATACCCCAAATGCCTGGCACAGTGAATGAGCAAAGATTCCTACTAAGCAAAGCCATTACATACTTCTAGTCCCAGTTTACCAGACACTAAGACAGGAGGATGGTTTGAGCCCAAGAATTAAAAACTAGCCTGGGCAACACAGAGTACCAAAAGTAAAAATGCCCCAAAGAAGCCAAGTCTTAAAAATGTATCAAACCAACTCCTTAATGCAACTTGAAAACAAATGCCTTCAAAATTCTGAAGGGAAGTTACTTTCAACTCATTGTTTGAAGTTATTTTGCATGTGTGTGGAATGTTGAGGAGCACACACGTGCCAGTGTGTCAGGCTTACAGGAGTTAGTCCTTCAATCTGAATTCTGGGAATCAAACTCTGATTGTTACCCCAGTCATATATTAGATATGCAGCTCAAAAACAATCTGGACTTGTGAGTTTGTATGTGGGGGAGGGGGTGCATGCCTTTAATCCCAGCACTCAGGAGGCAGAGGCAGGTGGATCTCTGTGAGTTACAGGATAGCTAGGGCTATTACACAGAGAAACCCTGTCTTGAAAAACCAAACAAACAAAAAAGACCAATCTTGCCTACATTCCCAAGACCCTAAGGGGGTAGGGGATCCTTCCTTCCCAGGTATGGTGGCACAAGACTGTGACCCTAGACAGGACTTCCAGTTTAAGGCCAGCCTGAGCTACATACATTCCCAGCCACAGACAGCTGGTCTTCAAAAAAACAAAACCAAAATTACATTTTCATCCTTCCTTTCAAAGAGACTTGTCAAAGGATACAATAAGCTTTATTAAAAGCACAAAGTATCCAGGAAACAAATCGAGATTGGAGGAGAAGTAAAGGGAAATCTGGGGATGTAGAAAAAAATCCCAGGATGACAGTTGCACAGATGGAGGCAGCAAGCAGTGTTTAGCACAGCGAAAGAAGGGAAAATTCCAGGGACAAGTGAACCTGGATTACCTAGTAGATTGGACTGTATGAACAAAATGTGTCCTGAAACACTACTTGTGTGCAAAGAATAAAAGTTAAAATAATAAACCAAGAGAAGAAAAAAATGTAAAAGAAACAAGGGCAATACCAGACTTAGAAATATACATTGACTGATAGTTAAAATATTGTCAGTATTAAGTACTATTTAGGGGGCTGGAGAGATGACTCAGTGATTAAGAGCACTGACTGGCTGCTCTTCCAAAGGTCCTGAGTTTCATTCCCAGCAACCACATGGTGGCTCACAACCATCTGTAATGAGATCTGGCACCCTCTGCTGGTATGGATGAAAACAAAGCACTCATATACATAAACAAATATTAAGTACTGTATAGTTAGCAAATATGATGCTAGGTTTTTTTTTGTTTGTTTATGCACTGTTCCTGGAGGTACTGAAATACCAGGTCAGTTTGTGGAGTGGATGGATCAAGCTCCTATTCCAACTCCTACTTCCAAAAATCCATTTAATATATTGTCCTCGGATAGAGGATGTTATCAGATGTTAAACTGATACAGATACTACATTTGCTCTTATCCAAAAGAAGCAATTGATTTTAGTATTTTAAGAAAGTAAAAGGTTCTGTGAGTTCGAGACCAGCCTGGACTACCAAGCGAGTTCCAGGACAGCCTCCAAAGCCACAGAGAAACCCTGTCTCGAAAAAAAAAAAAAAAAAAGAAAGTAAAAGGTGGAACATCGCTAGGCAATGTCTATAATGTATAAATTAAGAAATAGACAGGCATCATGTTACATGCCTGTGACCCCAGCCACTCCAGAAGCAGAGACAGGATAGTAGAAAATTCAAAGCCATCCTGGATTTTTTTAATACTGGGGCTGGAGAAATGGCTTAACCGTTAAGAGAGCTTGCTGCTCTTACAGAGGACCAGCATCTATATCATCAGCAGGTGGTCCACAGCTTCCTGTAACTAACTCCGAGAGGTTGACACCCTCCTCTGACCACCTCAGATACCTATACTGTGTGCACATACACACACATATAAATAAATCTTGCCAGGTGGTGGTGGCACACACCTTTAATCCCAGCACTTGGGAGGCAAGAGGCAGGTGGATCTCTGAGTTCAAGACCAGCCTGGTCTACAGAGTGAATTCCAGGATGTCCAGGGCTGCACAGAGAAACCCTGTCTTGAAATTTTAAATAGATACCTTGTAGCAGGCATTTTTGTCCCACTAGCTCTTCTGTTGTTGTTGTTGTTTGTTTGTTTTTCATTTTTCGAGACAGGGTTTCTCTGTATTGTTTTGGATGGAGGCTGTCCTGGAACTCACTCTGTAGACAATGCTGGCCTTGAACTCAGAGATCTACCTGCCTCTGCCTCCCAAGTACTGGGATTAAAGGCATGTGCCACCACCGCCCAGCTTTTTCTTTCATTCTTATGTCCTATTCCATGTCAGTTTGTCTGGCAACTGACTGGCATCAGGTGCCCCCCCACTCTTTCTCCCTGTTTTATCCTCTTCTTATTCTTTCTGTTGGCCAGCCCTGTCAATCTCTCTACTGCCTAGCTATTGGCCATTCAGCTTTTTATTAGATCAATCTGGTGCCTTAGGCAAGCAAAGCAACACGACTTTACATTGTTAAACAAATACAGCATAAACAAATATAACAAATAAGCCAATGAGTTGGAGATCTACAGAGCCCAGGACAGGCTCCAAAGCTACAGAGAAATTCTGTCTCAGAAAGCCCAAACAAAAAACAAGCCGGGCGTTGGTGGCGCACGCCTTTAATCCCAGCACTCGGGAGGCAGAGGCAGGCGGATCTCTGTGAGTTCGAGGCCAGCCTGGTCTACAAAGTGAGTTCCAGGACAGCTTCCAAAGCCACAAAGAAACCCTGTCTCGAAAAACCAAAAAAAAAAACAAAAAACAAAAAACAAAAAAACAAAAAGAAAAACCAAAAAAAAAAAAAACAAATGTAACATATCTTTGCCTAGTTAAAGTAATATTACACAAAAATGCATTTGAAAATCAGTTTTAATAGTGTTTAGCTATGCATACACATTACTTGGAGAAAAAGATTAAATGAAGGCTATGAACTTAAAACCGATGTATATAACTGCTACTGATTGTTCTTTTGCCTATAATCAAAAATTTGGTTATGTAATGAGAAAAACTATACAGGAAGGTTGATTGTGAAGGTTCTGTGTATCGTGTTGAGGGTATTTGAAAGTAATATTGGGTAATATGAAGAGGTCTCTGAGCAGAGGAGATCCTGACATTTCAGGTGACTGAAATAGGTCCTGAAAGGCAGGCATGCTAGCACACAGCAATCCCAGAGCTCAGAAGCCTGAGGCAGGAGAGTTCCCAGGTGTTTCAAAGCCACCACTGGCATACTTTGTTACCACAGACTGGCTATACCTAGTTCTGATTTGACGTCTGCTGTCCCAAACATACACATGCATATTTGCGCCCTCTTTTTTTCTTTTTTAATTTTCTTTTCTTTTTTGCTTATTGGGGGAGGGGGCGATTCAAGACAGGGTTTCTCTGTGTAACCCTGGCTGCCCTAGAACTTGCTCCATAAACCAGGCTGGCCTTGAACTCAGAGGTATGCCTGCCTCTGCCTCCAGAATGCAGCTACTAAAGGCATGTGCCACCAAGCCAGGCTGCTTGCACTCTTTTCCTTCCTTTCTTTTTTATTTTGTGGGGGTGGGGGATTCGAGAGAGGGATTCTTTGTGTAGCCTTGGCTGTCCTGGAACTCATTCTGTAGACCAGGCTGGCCTGGAACTCAGAGATCCACCTGCCTCTCTCTCTCCTGCGTGCCGGGATTAAAAGTGTGTGCCACCACACCTGGGCAATCCATTCCTCAAACTACTTGAACTTGCTCAACTCTCGAGGAGCTCGGTTTAGTACCGTCCTTTGACAGCAACTTGTGTTGTCAGCAGAACCCAAAGACCCACGCCGAAGCCATCTTCCTCTGGGGATCCAGTTAGGTCTTCAAATCCATCCTCTTCCGCAGAAAGTGGCACCTGTGTCCCACCCCTCTCCGACTGTACAGGAGTCAGCAAACTGTCCAGTTGGGCCCACCCAGTCGAGACTTCAGCTGTCTCGGCCTGAACCAGGAGCGTCAAGAACCGAGCGCCGCCCGGTGGGTGGGCGGGCAGTCGGCAGAGAGCAGCCAGCGCGGCTTGGCGGCGGGGCGGGGCGGGGCGGGGCCGCTCTGGGCTCAGCCCAGAGCCGGGAGGGCCGAGGCCACCGGAAGAGTCGCGGTCGCCAGCCGAGCGCCGGGAGTGGGGAGCGGAAGCGGCGGCGGGCGGCGCTGGGACCCGGGAGCGGCCGGAGAACAAGGGAGCTGGCGCCCCGGTCGGCGGCTGAGCGGGGCTGAGCAGCGGGCCGCGCCGAGCGCCGCCGCAGAGAGAGGCCCGGCCCCGCTGCCCGAGCAGGCCGCGCGCCGCGGGGCCGAGGCCGGAGCCATGGGCGAGACCAAGATCATCTACCACCTGGACGGGCAGGAGACGCCGTACCTGGTGAAGCTGCCCCTGCCCGCCGAGCGCGTCACCTTGGCGGACTTTAAGGGCGTTCTGCAGCGGCCCAGCTATAAGTTCTTCTTCAAGTCTATGGACGACGATTTTGGGTGAGGATGGCCCCCGCCCCGCCTCCAGGGAGCCCCTGCCGCTCCGCTGCTAGGGGCCAACGCGGCCAGTTCGGACTTCCCTCGCTGCACTGGTTTCTAACCCGCTTGCAGCAAGGGAGCGACTTGGTCACTTGGGATCCAACAGACTCCCGATCACCTCTTGGAGGCCTTGCCCCCCTAGTCCAGCGGGACCCTAAAAAATCGGTTCCTACCATTCCAGCCCCCTCACTCTCCACGGATCAGCGGCCCCCATAGACGTACATCCTTTCCACTCCAATCCAAAGTCAGAGCCATCAGCCCTCCTTCCAGGTGCCACCTTTTAAGCATAGAGTTGGGGTGTGTTGACACCCAGCCTGTCCTCCCCATCCTCTGAGCTCTGCAAGTCAGAGCCTTATTTGGAGTGTGCTGTATCTACGGCCGCAGCCGGTGGGACTTTGAACTGGAGAAGGAGTTGGGGGGGGGGCTTCTGCCAGACTAGATACTGGACCTGGTGTTTATTGAGCTGTCTCCCCTCTCCCCTGGGCTGGCCTGGGTGTTGCCTGACCCGGAGGAGGAGTCCTCACTAACCAGGTGCTGGGGCATTTTCTTGCCAGATGGTGATCCCAGAGATGTTGCACAGGGCTTCAGAGCCTGGATGGGAAGGCCAGGAAGGGCCTATTTGTGTTCTCTTGTCTTCTTCCCCTCCCTACCCAGCTGCAGTTTGGGAGCAGGGACTGCCCCTTTGAGGGAGGTTGGAATGTTGGAGCCTGAGCCTGAGGGTTCTGTAGCAGCTGGCCTGAGAGCACACACACACACACACACACACACACCCTCTCCCAGGGCCTGAGACATCACACACACACACACACACACACACACTCTCTCTCTCTCACACACACTCTCTGTCTCTCTCTCACACACACTCTCACACACACACTCACACACACTCTCTCTCTCTCTCTCTCACACACACACACACACACACACACACACACTCCTCTTCTGGGCCCTCCAGGTCTGAAGGTCCCTCTAATGCACTTGCCTGAGGCCTGCACTGTGCTTGCAGCTGAGGCCCCAGAGCTGGGTGAGGGGAGACATTCTTCTCCCCAGTGTTCATTAGTCTGGCTTCTCTCCCAAGGCCGGCCCTCCAAGCCCCAGGAGGCAAGCACCTTCTGTCTCCTCCCTGGCTTATTTGTCATCTTCTGCACTGGCCCAGCATTTGATGGCCTTGGTGGGCTGTGTGGCAGTGTTTTGTCCAGTGGAGAACAGATCTGATTATTCCTGATTATGTTCTTGCCCCGGATGGGGACTCCAGTGTGGTGTGATTGTCTGTATTTAGAGCAGGCATACCTGGTTGAAAGATCTTTTGGGATCTGTCTGGAAGAGCTGGGGATAGGGGGTGGATGTCTCAACCTGGCTTGAGCAAAATAAGGAGAACGGCCTGAAGGAACTGGGATAATATTTCAGGCTATGCTGGGCCAGATGCCTCGAGAGATTAGAATAGTCCTGTGTCTCCACTCCCACTTGCCTCTGCCTCCCAAGCAGACCACTGTGGGCTGCTTCCTGCCTTCCCAAGGTTGTTGTGCGAGCAGGCCTAACTACAATATAAAAGGCCTTCCATTGCATCTGCTCATCGTTCACAGAATATTTTTCTTTAAATATGCTGTCCACTCTTTTTTCTTAGTGACTGAACTAATAATGTGATATCAACTACAGGCCTGATTATGTTTCTATTTATTTCTAAACCATATCACAAATAAATAGTAAACTATTGAACTAAGCAATGTTTATCATGTGCCACCTGAAGCCATCTTGTATCCATCCATGTTCCTTTGCAAAATATCTTTTGGCTGTTCTAGCAGGGTTGAGAACAATGCTAAGAATGAATGGATGTGATTAATTGGCTGGTTCATCTCCTCTCCCCAACACACACACACCCCAAAGATAAATGAGCAAAAGACCCAGTAGGGCTCTCCTGTTACAGAGGACTAATAGCGAGGATTCTGGTCACAGTTTCTTTCTTTCTCTTTTTTTTTAATTTTACAAACTCATCATCTGGTCATTCACTGCACATCTTTCATCTCTGAATCCTCATACCAGCCTGTGAGATAGGCACTAATACCCCCACTTTGCAGATGAGGAAACAAGAATGCAGAAAGCCTGAATAGCTTGCTCTATGTCACAACTGGTAAATGACAGAGATTGCCTGATATGGGGGAACCTCACTCCAAAATCTAAAGTCTTGATCATACCACTTTGGGGGCATGTATGTGTGTGTATATATCAGAGAAACAGAGAGAGAGAGAGAGAGAGAGAGAGAGAGAGAGAGAGAGAGAGAGAGAGAGAGAGAGAGAGAGAGGAGTGAGGAATACTATGTAAATGACCCTTTTGTAGCTTTTCCTCGTCAAAAAGGTAGTAAGCATTGGCACACTGGGAAAGTAACAGGGTACCCCAGCCAGCCTAAGCCAGTGGCCCCTGTTGAGGAGAAAACATGTCAGAGGAAGAAGCCTGCTGCACCTCAGCCTCAGAGGTTCTGAATGTGAGACCTTAAGAGTCCCCACTCCCATCTGATCTCCAAAAATATTTCTCAGGCTCGGGGTGAACTTAACTCTCTTAAATTACTTGGTAGAACCAATCAAGGCCTTGCCATGGCTACCCAGCTCTACCACGAGGGTACAGTCTAAGGTCCCCAGCGCTGCTGAAGTACAGCTGATCACTGTGAGTCAAGAGAGGCTTGTGGACCTGTTGGTGTCCCCCAGGAAGAGTGTGGATGGGGAACTCAGTTACACTTTCCCACCACAAGGACATAGAATCCATGCTGTGTGTCACATGTACCCTCTTGTCTACAAGTTTGGAGAACCAGGGACCAGGCTGCCTGCTAGGTCTGGGCTGCTTTCCTGGGGTCACGGTGGGGTCTAGCACGGTAGGAGCTAGATGGAAGGGAGGACAGTAGGCTCAGCTTGGAAGCTTCGCTGTAAGTTCAAGAATGTGAGTGTCACAAAGAAACTGCTGTAAGAGTGGGGGGGGGGTCTAAGCCTCATGGCTTCCTCCCTTGCTGTATTCCCAGAACTAAGCATGCGTCCTCCTCTAACCTGAAGTCACATTTGTCTAGCTCTGTACTCCTGGGGTAAGTGATAGGGTAATGGCCCACAACACTTTCCATTCCCATCTCTGGCCCCAAACCATAGTTGATATCTAACTCCTGGCCCTGGCACATTCCCAAAGCCAAACCACATGCCATGACTACTTTCTGTGGTCCCTCGTGTCCCATACTACTTTCCCCCACCCCTCATAAACCCTTACATCTGTCATCAAACAGGAGAAAGAAATGTGACAAGAGTGAAGAGAGAATAGAAGTCAGAACCAGGCTGGGGTTCAATTGTAACATGAATAAGTTACCAAATGCCAGTTTCTTTTTTTTTTTTTTTTTTTGGTTTTACGAGACAGGGTTTCTCTGTTTTGGAGGCTGTCGGTCCAGCCTGGCCTCGAACTCACAGAGATCCACCTGCCTCTGCCTCCCAAGTGCTGGGATTAAAGGCATGCGCCACCAACGCCCGGCAAATGCCAGTTTCTTAATTCATGAAGTGAGAATTATATTGTCTACCTAGTCATATATTTTTACGTATACATATACACTTCTTTTTGAGGCAGGGTTTCTCTGTGTATCCCTGGCTGTCCTGGAACTTACTCCGTAGACCAGACTGGCCTTGAACTCAGAGATCGGCCTGCTCTGCCTCCCAAGTGCTGGAAATAAAGGTGTACGCCACAACCATCCGACTTTTTTGGGGGGGGCAAAATTCTATGTTCTAGCTATGGTAATACACGATATAATAGATAAAAATGCCAAGTTACACAGGTTGGGATTTAAACACCAGCTTTCCACTTGCTAGTGGTGTGTTTCGGTGGGTTGTTGAACCTAGACTGTTTCCCACTTCGTGAGTGAGAATGACAAGATGCTACAGGCACTTAGCATAATGCTAGGCCCATAACGCCTGCTCAGTAAATAAAATAAAAATTGTCACTGATAATTTTCTTCCTTTTGGGGGTGGCCTCAAACTCACTCTGAAGCTAAGGATGACCTTAAACGGATCCTCCTGCCTCCACCTCTCTAGCTCTGGATTACAGGCACCACAGCCATGCCCAGTCGAATGGGGTCGTGAATGCTAGGCAAGCATTCTGCTGTCTGAGCTACATCTTCGGCCTTCTGTCTTCCTTATTGTTTGTTTGTGACAGAATCTCATAATATTGCCCAGCCTCACCTCATAGTCTGCCTGCCTCAGCCTCCCAAGTGGTGACTGTGATTACAGATGTGTACCGCATAGATGCTTACAGATGTGTACCGCATAGATGCTTAGGAAGGCCTTCTCTTCCCTGCTTCCTTAAACTCCTTACCCACACCTGTCGGAACAGTCGGGGTTTCTAGTTGAGAAGTGAATAACAGTAAGAATTGCAGTGCCTTTTCCCAGTCGCAGGTCAGAGGGAAAAGGGAAGTCATGCGGGGAACAGGAGAAGTGCTCTGGAGGTTCAGAGGTGTGGCGTGGGGCCATTACAGTTTCCAGTCTCCTGATGGCCAAGTCGGTGCTCTAGCAAGGCAGTTGGCCCAGATATGGCCCTGCCAGAGGGGCGGCCCAGAGCACAGTGTGTGTTCCCGACTTCTGACTCCTCCCGGAAGCTCCTTCTTGTCTGTCCTACTTGGAGGTGCTAAGGATATGTCCCTAGTCCCTCCTCACAGCCACTTGACCTCACATTTAGGACAACATAGGTTATGGGGATCCTAAATTTCTACATCAGAAAGTTCTCTCTGACATCCTCCTTTCCCTGCAGAGTGGTGAAGGAAGAGATCTCGGACGACAATGCCAAGCTGCCCTGCTTCAATGGCCGGGTGGTGTCCTGGGTAAGGAGCCTCTCCAGCTGTGTGTCTGTGCTGGCTGGAGGGAGGGAAGGCTTCGTTAAGGTTGCAGCTAGTGATTTTATGCCTCCGTATCTGAATCTGTCTTTAGTTATCTAATGATTTCCTAGTTTTCGGCCTTTAATGACATGTTAGAGAATAGTGGAAGGATGAGAGGGGAGAAGCAGGAAGACATGATAGAGATTCAGAGGTCTGCTGTGTCCATCCAGACACCTACTGTCTGCCAGTGGGCATCCTCCGGGCTGTGCCCGACCCCTGCTGCCCAAGCCTGCCAGCCCCTCTCCCTCATGCACCTGGCCAACGGCCCTCGTGGGCATGTCTTCTCGCTCTCACTCTCCAGTCTTTCACGTCCTGCTGGAAGCAACATCTTGCTTTTCCTTGGCACCCCTGTGATCACTCATTTTCTTGGCAGCTGGTATCTGCTGAGGGCTCGCACCCAGAGCCAGCCCCATTCTGTGCCGACAACCCATCAGAGCTGCCACCTTCAATGGAACGCACAGGAGGCATCGGGGACTCTCGACCCCCATCCTTTCAGTAAGTGTGACTTAAAGGAGGGAATGGCCCCTGGGGGAATCTCAGCTCAGCCCAGAGCTGCAGAAGGGAGCCCTCAACCTGCTCTCTTCTCCACCAAGTCTTCTCTACCCTTTAGCCCTCATGCTAGTGGAGGCAGCCAGGAAAACCTGGACAATGACACAGAGACCGACTCCTTGGTGTCTGCCCAGCGAGAGCGTCCCCGACGGAGGGATGGCCCAGAGCACGGTGTGTATTTTCCACTTCCAGCGCCACCCGCAGCTTGCGGCCAGCTCCCTGCCTGCCTCTTTACCCTATGTCCTTAGTTATGGACATGCCTGGCTCCTGATCAGCCCCTGGCCTGCCCGCCTCATACCCCTCCTTCCCTACTTTGGACCTACCTCCCTTGCAGCAGCCCGGCTCAATGGAACTGCGAAGGGGGAGCGGCGGCGGGAGCCGGGTGGCTATGACAGTTCATCCACCCTTATGAGCAGTGAGCTGGAGACTACCAGCTTCTTTGACTCAGATGAGGACGACTCCACCAGCAGGTGGGGCTTGACTTCCATAGGCCTGGGGTGGGAGTGAGGGGGACAGTTGGCCCACGAGGAGGCCTGAATTCTGTTGATACTTCACCTCTGGGAGGGACGTGGGCATCGTGTTGGGACCAGGGCTGCACAGTGCCTCTTACGGGGGGCCAGGATGGGCCAGCCTGGTGGGGAACGACTTTGGGCCCCACAGGTTCAGCAGCTCCACAGAACAGAGCAGTGCCTCGCGCCTGATGAGGAGACACAAGCGGCGGCGGCGGAAGCAGAAGGTCTCTCGGATTGAGAGGGTATGGGCTCTCGGGCTGAGCGGGGCAGATTAGGAGTCCTCCCGGGCAGGACCAGAGCTCCTCCTGGAAACCCCCTGTTTGGTTCGGGGTTTGGAATCTAGTGGGTAGGGGTGGTGGTCTGAGGAAGAGCCAGATGGGCACGCCCGCCCCTACCTGCTGCTCATAGCCACTGTCTCTTCCAGTCCTCGTCCTTCAGCAGCATCACAGACTCCACTATGTCGCTCAATATCATCACAGTTACTCTCAACATGGGTGAGTCTGCTGAACACCAAAGCACCTCTGCTGGGATGGCAGAAGGGCTTTCTGGGAAGTACAAAATGCATTTTCGGGGGCTTGGGGTGGGATCTCAGTGGCAGAGTACAAGGCCCAGGGTCCCATATCCAGTACGGGAAGAGCAATATGTGTTCCTTGTTCTCCTGTTGCTTTTGTATAAATACTGACTGACATAATCATTTCGGTATTTCATTGTCAGGGCTATAACAGAGAAACACAGAGAGCTGTGTGACTTGGGAGGTTTCCTGGGGAGGTGATTTCTGAGAGCCTTGGCCCTGCTCATCTTGTCATAGCACCCTTAACTCTCTGACGTCTGACCCTTCACAAGGCAGCTGGTGCCTGGTGGCTCAGCAGGTGGTCCTGCCACTGAGCGTGATGACAGGCTTCAGTCCCCAGAACCCACATGCTGGAAGGAGAAAACCGACTCCCACAAGTTGACTTCTGACCCCCCCACACACACAAACACAAAAGCGTGCCCTCCACAACAAAGTGAATAGATAAAAATGTAATAAAAATGTTAAAGGCAGTTAAAAAAAGAGCTTAAAGAGTCTGAGTTTTAACTACTGCTTAGGAAGGGCACTTAGGTCTTGCTGATCTGTAAAATAAGTCTGGAGTCCCTGCCCCATTACCAGTAGGAAGATTGAAAGCATGTTTAAATGTATACACTACACTGTACAGTAATATTTACACAGTTAGTATGCCAGTTGTGGCCTCTTTCTACCCCATACTAATAAGGGGCTGGAGATCTGCCTTGTACTAATGGGTAAGAGCCCTGCCCTTCTCAAGATGTTAAATCATTCCCTGCAGAAAAGTATAACTTCTTGGGCATCTCCATTGTGGGCCAAAGCAACGAGCGAGGTGATGGAGGCATCTACATTGGCTCCATCATGAAGGGTGGGGCCGTGGCAGCTGATGGGCGCATTGAACCAGGAGATATGCTGCTACAGGTACCATTTGCCTCCCTGGGTGGTAGGGTAGCGAGAAGTCCCTACTATCTGGAGGAGTCCCTAACCCAGCTCCCCTGTCCATCTCCTGAGCCCAGCCTGTTACCTCACTCCTAGTCCTTTTTCTCAGGTGAATGAGATCAACTTTGAGAACATGAGTAATGACGATGCCGTCCGAGTACTTCGGGAGATCGTACACAAACCGGGGTATGAGTGGAATGGGATTCTGGGGAAGGTAGGGCAGGCATTTCTGGAAGGGGGCGTGGTCTGGCCTTCATACATCCTGCCTTTACTAGGACAATCTTGTTTTCAGGCCCATCACTCTGACTGTAGCCAAGTGCTGGGACCCAAGTCCACGTGGCTGCTTCACATTACCGCGGAGTAAGTAGACAAGGGATTCAGCCCTAAAGTTGGTGCTGGTATATGTCAACTCTGTTGAGCACCGTAGTGGGCAGGGTGGGCAGCCTGTGACTCCTCGTCCTCCCTGCAGGTGAGCCCATCCGGCCCATTGACCCTGCAGCCTGGGTCTCTCACACTGCAGCCATGACAGGCACCTTCCCCGCCTATGGCATGAGCCCGTCTCTGAGTACCATCACCTCCACCAGCTCCTCCATCACCAGCTCCATCCCTGACACAGAACGTGAGTATTCAAGCCTGTCCCTGGGGCCCAGCAGACAAGGCCAGGCAGGAGGACTGTTCCCCTTGGACGCCGCAGAGGGCCTTTGAGGGGCTCTACTCATTCCAGGCACCTCACGCTGAAGCCCTTCCCCAGTGGGCACTTAGAGCTGCTCTGAACGTTATCTGCTTCCTTACGTATGGTGAGTGTCCACAGAGCCTGAGTTTCCTCTCACACAATGGGACTACCAGTATATACTTGACCAGGTTCTTGTGGTGTTTAATAAGAGGGTTTAAGTAGAAGGTTATTCCCGTGGGGCATGAAGTAAGCACTCGTTTTTTTATTGTCATAACATGTACATCTGTGCTGTGCTAAGCGCCTTCATGAAATCATTGAATTATTCGTTCACATATTCTTATTTAGACATTGAAATAGTCATTTTTCCAGAAGGGAAAACTGTCCAAGAGGTCACTATTGGGCTTGTCATTGTTGAGTGGCAGAGCTGGGACACCACTCTCATCTTCCTAACTCCGCGGCTCCTGTCTGCCTCTTCCCCCAGGGTTAGATGACTTCCACCTCTCCATCCACAGTGACATGGCGGCCATTGTAAAGGCTATGGCCTCTCCTGAATCCGGGTTGGAGGTTCGAGACCGCATGTGGCTCAAGATTACCATTCCCAATGCTTTCATTGGTGAGGGAGCCTGTGTGGGGAGCCATGGAGCAGGGCAGGGGTGGGGGACCCAATCTCCCCCTTGGGCTACTCTTTTGAACTGTTAATTGCCCCAGCCTCCCAGCTTCTTTGAAGCCAGAGGAACCCAAATCAACTGGCAGCCTTATCCCCAGGCTCAGATGTGGTGGACTGGCTGTACCACAACGTGGAAGGATTCACGGACCGGCGGGAGGCCCGCAAGTACGCCAGCAACCTGCTGAAAGCTGGCTTCATCCGCCATACCGTCAACAAAATCACCTTCTCTGAACAGTGCTACTACATCTTTGGTGACCTCTGTGGAAGTACGTGCCTCCCTACCACCTTCGGGGGTTTTTTCTCCCTTTTCTAGAGACAGGGCCTTGCTGTTTAGAGTATACTGGCCTAATACCAATGTGTAGCCAGCTGGACTTTGAACTTGCAGAAATCTTCCTGAGTGTTGGATTATTAGTGCATGCCACCACCATGCACAGAATCTTCCACCTCCTTGTCTCTGGATGGGAAGAAGGATGTGGTATGTGATATGACAGCTGACCCCAGGAAACCTAGGTAGGCTCAACAGTGCTGGGGTCTTGTTCACAGCTTGAAGGCCTTCTGACATAAGCAGCCCAGTCTAGCCTCTCCCTTGGTCTGCCATCTCTCTGTTGAACCTGTCTGGTGCTTGACATGGTGCCGGTGGTTTCTGAAGTGTCAACCCATTCCACTCAGTCCTCACCACTAGGCAGGGTGGGGGTGGGTACTGTCCATGTTATCAAATGAGGAAATAGAACTATTGGTGTAAAATAGGCTACCCTAGCCAGGCAGCGTTTGCACACGCCTTTACTCCCAGCACTTGGGAGGCAAAGGCAGGCGGATCTCTGTGAGTTCGACGACAGCCTGGTCCACAAAGCGAGTTCCAGGACAGCCAGGGCTACACAAAGAAACTCTGTCTCGAAAACTCCCCCTCCCCCCCACGCAAAAAAAAATTGACCCTGAGAGGGTGCAAAGCCATTGAGCATAATGGAGCTGAACACCCTGTGGAGACCCCTCCTTCTCGGTAGTCTCCAGATGACCCCAAGCAGACATTGCTGTTCACATCAGCCCCTAAGTCCCAGCCCCAGTACCAGCAGCCACCTGTGCCCAAAAGAGATTCCCTTCACACCTGTGCTGGCTGGCATCCCCAACAGCTGACTCAGAGTGCTTCTGGGACTAGAGTGATCAGTACTACACAACACTGTCCCTTGGTAGAGGGTGGGGTCCCTGGCCCTCAGCAGTTCTTAGCGTTGTGATGGACTTTGCACTCTGGCACTTCTGTGTTCAAATGTTAGCTTTACCCTTACTATGCACATATGTAAAAGTTGCCTATGGTATGTGTGCATGTGTGATATATATATATATATATGTATATATATATATGTATGTATGTATATATATATATATATATATATATATATATATATATATATAATGTTGTTTTGTTTTTCGAGACAGGGTTTCTCTGTAGCTTTGGAGGCTGTCCTAGAAATTGTTCCGTAGACAGGCTGAACTCAAACTCACAGAGATCCACTTGTCTCTGTCTACCTAGTGCTAGGATTAAAGTTGTGCTGTTCATATATTTAATTACTTATAAAAAGAACAGTTTTCTTTTCACATTCCATTATCTGAAATTGGGTCTAGCTTCCGTCAATTGTTTATAGACTCAAAAAACTGGATATTATTGATATTGTTAGCAGACAGGGCCCCAGACAGCTATGGCAGCTTTGCTCAAAAGATGTTTCCTTCATGGGCCCAACTGGGTCCTCTAACAAGGCCACCCAAGGCTCAGCCAGGATGTACTGACAGAAAAGACATTTCCTTTGAAGAGGTCACAGTCTGCTGAGCTGGGAATGTGTTGGGCTCAAAGAGGAACTGTGTGCTCACCCTTCCTGGAGTATACTGTTGGTCCCCAGGACAGCACTCTACAGGCTAAAGACATCAAGAGCTCTTATGTTTGAGCCAGTACAGGCCACTGCTGTCTTTATGGTCTGCATTGTTGCCATTGGTCTCTGGACAAGTTAGTGGCTCAGCTGCCAGGCTCCATAAGTGATTTCAGAGCTCCATAGCCTGGCTTCTTCCTGCAGAGCTGGCTGGATCACCTTGGGCCTTGGAAGGAGCTCTAATGGTATAGATGGCCTCTCCAGAGCAATTACAGCTTTCTTAGAATTCAGGTGCACGTGAGCAAAGGACCCTGGGCAGGCAATCAGCCCTAGCTGCCCTTTCTACTCCCTTCAAGGAAGTTCTAGCTCTTGTGAACACGGCTTGCCTTTAGGAAGCGCACAATTTCAAGGATAGAAGAAAGTCAGGAGGTAGTTTTGATGGTCAACGGGTGCCCTTTCTGGCTGCAAGCAGGGTGGAAAGGCCTTTCTGGCCCTTCCTATGCCAAAGGAGGCCTTAAAAAACCATTGTGTTCATCTAGGACTCTGTCGCCTCCTCTTTCTCCTTTAATTTACCTATTGCTGAGTATTGGGTTGGCTGACCTCTCAGTCCTGCTGGAATGACACAGGTGCACCCCTCCCACACAGCCCCTTCTGGACTCCTCTTTTGAGACAGGGTCTTACTACATAACTCTGGCTGTCCTGAAACTTACTGTGTAGACCAAGCTAGGCTTGAAGTCTCAGAGATCTGCCTGCCTCTGCCTCCTGAGTGCTGGGATTAAAGGAGTGGGCTATCACACCCATCTCATTCTGAACTTTTATTTTTAAGAATTATTTTCATTTTTGTGTGTATGAGAGTCCTTTGTCTGCATGTATGTCTGTGCACCAAGTGCATGCAGAGCCCAGGAAGGCCAGAAGTTGCTGGATCCCTAGAACTGTAGTTAGAGCCAGTGCTCTTAACCAATGAGCCATTTGTCCAGCTCCGTATAGTGTGCTTAACAGTACAACACCTGGAGGCTTCTAATGCGCCAGCCTTCTGCATTCCCTGCCTTTATTTCCTCTCCACAGAAGAGAAGCTGGCAAACAAGGTGAGAGCGGGTGGCTGGGTGGGGTCGTTTTTGTTGTTTTATTTTTGCTTCATTTTTTGTTTGATTTTGGAGTTTCACTTTTCAGGTTTTTTTGAAATGTCTGATAATGAAACCCAAGCTGGCTTCAAAGTTCTCACTTAGCCCATGGTGGGCTTGAACTCATGTCAGGTCTCTTGCCTCAGCCTTCCTGGTACTTAGTGAGACTGTGAAGGCACCAGGAATTACATATTGGGATTGCCTGTAGAGCTGCTGGGAATGGCCAAGGTGATCTGCAGGCCCTCCATTCTGGCCATAAACTTAACACTGTTGTCTGCTGTCTATTTTCGGCTGGACACCTCCTGATTGTGGGCGTGGAACACAAAATAGACCAAGTCTTCTTCCCACAGACATGGCCAACCTGTCACTTCACGACCATGATGGCTCCAGTGGCGCCTCTGACCAGGACACACTGGCTCCTTTGCCGCACCCAGGGGCTGCCCCTTGGCCTATGGCTTTCCCTTACCAGTACCCGCCACCTCCACATCCCTATAATCCACACCCAGGCTTCCCAGAGCTGGGCTACAGCTATGGCGGGGGCAGCGCCAGCAGTCAGCACAGTGAAGGTAAGTCAGAGAATCAGCAGAAGGCATCTGCAGGGGACCCAGGCCACCACTGTGCCTCCATCGTGGCCCTGTTTGTTCCCTACAGGCAGTCGAAGCAGTGGCTCCAACCGCAGTGGCAGTGACCGGCGCAAGGAGAAGGACCCAAAAGCTGGGGACTCCAAATCAGGTGGTAGTGGCAGCGAGTCAGACCACACTACCCGCAGCAGCCTGAGGGGGCCACGGGAGCGGGCGCCAAGTGAGCGCTCAGGCCCAGCAGCGAGCGAGCACAGCCACCGCAGCCACCATTCGCTGACGAGCAGCCTGCGCAGCCACCACACACACCCGAGCTACGGCCCGCCCGGAGTGCCCCCTCTGTACGGTCCCCCGATGCTTATGATGACCCCACCGCCTGCAGCCATGGGGCCCCCAGGAGCCCCTCCAGGCCGTGACCTGGCCTCGGTGCCCCCGGAACTGACGGCCAGCAGACAGTCCTTCCGCATGGCAATGGGAAACCCCAGTGAGTTCTTTGTGGATGTGATGTGATCAGGGCCCCTCCCGCTCCCGCCCCCCCAACCCCACCCCCACCCCGAGCCGGCTGCATCCCTTTCTCCATCAGTCGGTCTTTTTTTACTTTGGTACCTAAAAGGGAAATAAATGGAACTAACTGCTACTGCTTGCTGGTAGCAGCAAGGATGAGGGGTCTCTACTCATCCATGCTACAGCCCCCTAACCGGCCTCTGTCCCAGCTGGTTCCTCTGCCCACTAACCAACGCCCATTCCACCTGGTTTGGGCTTCCCAGGATTTTTCATATCCCTGGCTCTGCACTGCTGGTCTTGCTTCCTGATGCTTCACTCTCGCATTTAGGAGCTGACCCCAGTGGTGTCACACCTTTATGCCCACTCCCCCCCCCAACCTTTTTCCTACCTCCTCAAGCATGTATGCAGAGATCTTGATTTTATCCCACCATACTGACACCAAAAAAACGGCCTTTCCCTTCCTAACTGCCCTGTCCATGGCTGTAGTCCTTCACCCTACATCTGTAGCACCTGTAGTAGGCATCCATGCTGTCTGTCCCTTCTCGAACCCAGCCCCAGTCAGAAGCCCAGAGCCCCAACCCACCCCCATCCCCGGTGCTGGGCCACTAGTGGCTTCCAGGAAGTATCTCTGCTGGGCCTGGACCTCCATGCCTGTCCTGTGTGCTGGTTCCCGCAGATCTAACCCTACTAACCAACAGGCTCTTCTAATTTCTGGGCCTGAAACATTTTTTCTTCTTTTTCTTCCTTCAAATTTCCCTGGGCCTGGAGCAGCCAAGAATTTCGGGCTCTTTGACTTTCTGTGAGTCCCCAGGAAAGGGAGGCCCAGCCTCCAAGGAGACCAGGAACTCTGCTTCAGCAGCCCCTCAGGGCTTCCAAAGGATGTCCAGCCCCCACACCCACACTGCAAGGTCACTAGACTTCTGGGAAAGACCACAGCTTCACCCAAGCATGACAGACCATGTTCTTTCCAGAGAGCAGTAGAGAAGTTTTCTCCCCACCCCTCAGGCACACACACACACACACACACACACACACACACACACACACACATCTATGCAAGTTTACATGAGCCTCAGGGCTGGTCCCTGCCCAGAGGGCTGGACCCTTTCTCCAAGTCATCTCCTAGATAGTGGGGCTGGTCCCTAACTGCCCTCTCCCCTGCCAGCATTCCCTCAAGCCTTCCACACACATTCTCAATATCTTGGTACTTGGATAAAGCCCAAAAGCTGGGCTCAACCGAGGGCTGCCCAGGTAACTTGACAAATGGTTCTCTACTTGGCTCCTGTCCCCACATGTCCTTATGCTGCCCTGCCTTCATCTTCACCATGATACCTGGGGCGGAGGCAGGGAACACAGGCCAGTTGAAGTCCTACAAGAGGACTCATGGGACTTCCAGACAGTTCCAGTTCTTTTTAGAATTGTTTTCCACCTTAAATCACAATTTTCCTTTAAAACTCCACTACAAACTCTACTGACTTATCCAGACTCATATTTTCAGGGCAAGGGTGTCGGAGCTGGGGATGTAGCTCTGCAGTAGAGGCTTGCCTAGTGGGCCCTGGGGTTCAGTCCCCAGAAAATGCCTCCCCCATCAAGATGTCCTTAGTGCATGTTTGGGGGCAAACCGAGGTAGTGATATTTTGACATTCATTCGTTTTAACAAATATTCCTAGGATTTTAATGAGCAAAGGGCTGTGTTAGAAGCATGACTCGGTCTTACTTGTCTTCAGTACTCTGATTCTGCCATATTCTCCAGAACCCCACCACAGTGCTCATGAATTGGATGCCAGTGTTCCATGTCCTCATCTTTGACTCACTTCTCTTTCTTTGCCAAAATAGTGTCATCCATTCTCTTTTCAATTGTTGTTGATATGCTGGCCATTTCTAAATACCAATTTCCAACCCCAGCTTTCTCTGCTCTTCAGATCTCTTCATTATCCACTGGACATCTCCATATGTCCCTAGCACAGTATTATCCCTCTTGAATCCCTGTCCTGGTGACTTTCATCACATAGGCCCACCAGCCAGGAACATTTATGGGCTTAAATCCCTTCTTCCTACCTGGTATTAGTCAGCATATCACACCCTTCTACTCTGACACTCTTTCTGAAGTTCAGCTGTTCCTCTCCCTTCTTAATTTACAGAGCATGGGATTTGGAGTCAGGTTGGTTTGGGTTTGAATTCCAGCTCTGCCATTTTTGGTTGTGTAATAGTTATTTAACCTCTCTGGAGCCTCAGTCCTCCTGTATGTAAAATGATGATAATAATACCTACCTCACAGGGTTGTTGTGAGGATTTAAATTAGATATTGTACGAAAAGTGCCTAGCACAGTGCCTGGCACACAATAGAGTAGGTGCTCAATAAATGGTAGCTATTATTATTATTATCATTACTAATTTACTCTAAACTGGCAAACATTTAGAGTGTGTTGGGAAGAAAAGGCTTTTGCAAAGATAGACTTGAAACCTTGAATGGTGCTCAAGGGTTAGAAGTATCTGGTTTTGATCACTGAATCATGTCCCAAAGTGACAGTCTTTTCAGAAATGTCAGGTCTTCATCCTGTTACATCCTGGCTTTTGGAAGGAGGTTGCTAGGAACAGTAAGGTTTGCAACCAGATTTCCCCACCCCATCCCCTTCCTTTCCACCATGGAAGTCTTCGGGCTGCACAGCAACAGGATGTCTCTGCCTACTGAGAGACAAGAACCAAATTTTCTTAGTTTGGCAAGAACCAGGCAGGCTGTTTGTGTCCAAGGTTGGCTCCACCTCATTCTCAGTTTGGATAGCATGAGAGGTGGAATTTCTTAATTCTGTGTCCAACTAAATTGGGGTGGAGTCAAGACAGGGTCTCTTATGTAGCCCTGGCTGTCCTAGAACTCCCAACGTAGACCAGGCTGGCCTCGAACTCATAGAGATTTTCTTGCCTCTGCCTCCCGAGCGCTGGAATTAAAGGAGTGCACCGCCAGCACACAGTCACAGGTTTAGCTGAGAAAAGCGTTAACTAGTTTTGCCAAGATTTGTCCTCCTCTTTTCTTTGGATAATTAGTCCTGGGAAAGGGCTCGGTCTTGACTGTAATCGATACGTATACCTTGGAAGAATCAATCCTGGTGTTAAAAAGCAGTGAATTCAGCTCTAACAGGCTTATGCCAAGTTGTGTTTGTAAAGTGAGGATAGCCAGTCTTCGGAATCTGGAAACAATTACAGATTACAGTAATTCAAAATTTACAACTGGTTTCGACAAACAGCTTTGATCTCTTAAAGCCTACCGAAACAATCTAACTAGGAATTGGAAGGATTGCAGAGACTATACTCCACGTGATACTCGGTGAAGCAAATGAATGGATGGAGTGTACTACGACGCGTGTTGCAAGCAAGACGCACTAATGCCGGCGTCAGCTCTCTCGAAGGCTTTCGGTAGTTGTAGTTTTGCTAAACCTAGGGCGCTCTGATTTAGCAGTTTGAAAGCTGCAGGGGCTGACGGGACTTGTAGTCGCCGCTGGCGGCAAGCGCGCAGGCGCAGTTGAGATCAGGGCGGGGCGGGGCGGGGCGGGAGCACTGCAGTGAAAGCCGAGGCAGCGGACTGGCGAGCAGGGGGCGGGCGGACATCTTGGGATCCGAGAGTCGCCAGGCCGGCCTTGTGGGGGCTGCTGACTCCAGGTGAGCTGGGAAACTGGACTTATGGGCCCTTACCAGGCCGGCGAAGGCGCCGTGGTCGCCGGCCGTGCTCTGCTTTGCGCTGGGTGCAAAACTGCCCGCACCCGGGAGTGGCCTCAGTCTTCAGACCCGGGAGGGAGCGGACGACCGGGCGGTGGTGCCTCGGGCTCGAATGCAGCAAGGGCGGAGAGCGACGCCCTCCAGTGACCCGCCGGGCGTCTCTGGGGAGAGACAGGGCCCGAATCCTAGAGCCGGGACGCCGCGCGGCGCCCCCACCGCTAGAATCCTGACAGCGCTCAGCCCTGAGGCTTCCCATCTCCCCCATCCCCCCAGGACAGTGACATCCCCTTGTGCCACTCCCTTGGACAGTGACAGGTCTCGTACCTTGCGATATCCCTTCCTCCTATTTACCCCCACGGCTCTTTCTCCCCAGACCTGTGACAGCCCCCGCATGCCGCGGTGCCATATCCCCGGCCTGGATATCTCCTCCCTTGGCTGAGAAAACCCCACCGGCTTCTCAAGCCTCACTAACCGCAGAGTAGGCCTTGTCTCTCAGCTTTCCCTTTTTCTACTGTCACTGTCTCCGCCGATTTTTGCTCCTCAAAGCTCCTATGACCTTTGCTATAGGAGAACTTCTTTAGGGCCTCGCACAGCCGTCTTTGCTGCTGGGTGTCACCCTAGTGTATTGCTAGCAATTACAGCTAACCATTCCCTTAACTAAATATTCATTTTTGTCCAGGACACACACACACACACAAAACCACCCCCCAGTACAACTAACCATTCCCTTAAATATTCATTTTTGTCTAGGGGACACACACACACACACAGCCGCGGTTCCAGTGTCCTGAGCTACCTTCTACTTGTTACTGTGGACTTAGTCCTTTGCTCAGGACTCAGCCTCCATTTTGCATTTTTTTTTTCTCTCAGCTTCTTTGGAAATGCGAGCTGCAAATGAGTCCACCACCTTAAGAGACTTGTCATTGGTCTTGGGCTTATTTTCCAGTTTCAGAAAGCCTGTTAAACTAACCCCTGTGAAATTAATGCCTGGGCTAATCCAGAAAATCTAGAACCAGATTAACCTCTTTTCTCAAATAGTCTAAATTAGTTTTGACTGAAATAATTTGAACAATTGAGGCATTCTACTATCTCTGCCCATTGCTTATAAGTACCAGGCCTGAAATGAGTTTCTGGTGGATAGATCACAATTTAAATGGGAGGATTAATGCTGCACACAGACCTTATATTTATTGCACTTCGACATTTTGAAAGGACAGTGACCAGAAATAACTAGTAGAGGCTCAGCGATTTAAAGAGTACTTACTGCTCTTCCAGAAGACTTGTTCAGATCCCAGCACCCACGTCAGGTGGCCCTCTGCTTCATGTGTAGCTTCCGTGCACGGTGCACACTCTGGCATGTGCATACATGATGGCAAAAATGAAATCTTTTCTAGGAAGAACTGTAATAAGCGACTTGGGTTATTAAGTGTGTTTTGTCAGCACTGGGTCCTCTGCTCCTTTGCCTGCTTCTACCTCACTGTCCTGGAAAGATGTGCCTGCTTCAGCACTTTCCTGGCTCCATGTTAGAGCCTAAGGGCCTGCTTTCCTCCCCCCAGCCCCCTCCTGCACACCCTTTCCTGGAATGTATAGACTTCTAGAGGTTCATGCTTTGCTGCCTTCTAGGAACGGTAGTTAGTGCTTGCTCTAAAGGTTGTGCCTGGTGAAGGTCCCAGGCCCAAGCCAACTAGAGTAATTCCTACCGCCATTCCTTCATTCGCAGGCAGGCCTTTTCAGTGAGTCACTGGAAGGAGCCTGAACGAGAGCTGCACAGCAGGGGGGTTGAAAAGACTCCTTGCTGAGCTCAGCAATGTGAAGAAGGGGTGGGGGCTACTCTCTGGTCCCACCCTTGGAAAAGGCTAGATGAAAATGGCCTTAATCATGGGCCCCACACTCTGAAATTGCTTTCTCCTGTCCAGTGTGGAATAAACAGGAACTGGAACATAGCTGAGGGGGTCGGGCTTCCCTGCAGGGTCACTTGCTAAAGGATTGAGTCAGGAAAAAAGCCCAGTTTGTACAGCCCCGCTGGGGGCTTGGGCAAGGGCTCTGGAGATTTCCCTTACTCTCCCCCACCTTCCTTCACAGGTCTGTTCTCAGAGCAATGGGCCACAGAGACTGAGCTGCCACCATGATTGGGGGTTTATTCATCTATAATCACAAGGGGGAGGTGCTCATCTCCCGGGTCTACAGAGATGACATCGGGTAAGTTCCTTGGTTGAGCATGCTGTGCCCCAACCTCCCTGTCACCTCAGCCTGAGCATGCAGTGTAGCCTGGTTTCCATTAGCCATTGGCCTCGCATTGAGACTCGGGCCCTCGGAATGACTCCCCCATCCCCAGCCGCCAGGCTTAGGAATGAATCCCCGCCCTTCCTGTTCCTGTATCTCTGAGGCTTAGGTCTGGTTGCTAACGATGAGTGCTTTCCCAGTCAGGTTGATTCTTCCTTTCAGGAGGGAGTGCTATCTGTCTCCAGTGGGTGTAGTTAGTACCAGGGCGGGGCACTAGTCCATCCAAATCTTGCTTTCAAAGTGCTTCTCATATTGAGAGCCTTCCCTAGATCCCTGTAAAATCCTCTTTGGTCTGTTGACTTGGCTGTTCTCACTTCTGGGCCCTTCCTGGTTGTGAACAGGCTTGAGGTGCTCTGTGGGCCATGCTGCCTTTGTCCTACATCCCTTAGACCTGACAGAGACTCCCCGCAGCCTTGCTTCTCCCTCTAAGATCCTCCACCGCTCTAACCTGAGGCTAGGCTCCTCTGGTACTTCCTACCTTGTGTTTCTTTCTCAGAGAGCTTGAGAGAAATAGTCACCGAATAGATCTGCCGTAGCTCTCCCTCTCCTCTCTTCTTGTCTCCCTGGCTGATGAGCTAGCTTGGTGTGGCCTCTGTGGCTGTACTCATTGCCTGTTGTAAAGCTGAGCTAGACTTTGTGGCAATGCCTAGCCTGAGTGAGCCTGGCTGGTCCCACGCACTCCTTCCTCCTACCTCTGATGGTCCTGGTTGATGCTGTAGCGAGGCCACAAGACTCCCTGCATGCCTCCGTGTGCTCCCCTACCAGCTGCCTGTCTGCTGCCCCCTCATGGTATGTGCTGCCCCGCCCTTGGTGTGTTGTGTGTCGTCTAACCCTATCTCTCCTTGCTGTCACTCTCCTCTTCTTGCTGACGTCATTTCTCTCATCCCATCTCATTGGCTGATGTAGCAATAGGTAAGCAGCCTGTCACGCTGCCACTCAGGTACAGGCGGGTAGGGGGTCCTGCTCCCCATAATTGTTTTCCTTCATCTTTTTTCATCCCCTTAACTTCTGGAGTTGGATTTTAGTAAAAATTGGGTGGCACAGTCCATAGCCCCTTCTCACCCTATAGGATAGAGTCTTCCCTGAGGTCATAGTAGCTTTGCCCAACTTTCAGAGGAGTTGGCTTTCTCCACTGGTGGGGCCAATAGAGATCTTTCTCTTCAGGGCCTGCAACTTCCTGGAAAGCTAGAGAGGTGACAGCTGGGCTATATCTAGGAAGTTGAAGTCAGCCCTGGGAGTTACTTTAGTAAAGCTACATCTACCCTTCCATCATTATCATGTGACTCCCTACTTCTTATGGCCTGCAGATAGCAGCCCAACACAGGCCTTCTTCCCATGACCTTACCAGGTGCTATAAGAAGGGAGCCCTGGCCGGGCGTTG